TACATCTGCGATATTGGCTTGGGGCATGTGACAGACGGTTCTTAGATCAGTGATTAAATCCAAAAAATTGCTGCAGCTCTCAATCTTACCAATAAAATCTAAATCAAAGAAGTTGCCCTTCAAATCTTTAGTAATCTTACTTTGATTATTATCCCGAGTCAGTACAGTTTGAATCATTTCAATGTTGCTGCAACAAAATTGAAGCATGTACTTGATGTTCTCCCAACGTGTTTCATTGCATAGCTTCTTCTCAAGATCGCTTGCTTTGAATGTAGTATTACAGTACTTCAGGGTTTTACATATAATGTTTATGAAATTTGGATTTATGCATTCTTTCATAAGATTATTAAAAATTTTCTGATTGCAAGGAAATTGCCACAAGTCATCATCTTTGTCTAGCTTCAGGGTAAAATTATCTCCCAAAATGACTGCATACACCTCTGTCTTGAATTGATCAGATGCTTCCATTATACATGACTTTGTGATGTCTGTCAGTTCTTGCTTACTATCCTTGCAATTACTCGATAATTCGTAATTATCCATAAAAATCGTTTCATTTGCATCAGTTGGTCTAAGCATGATTGATATGGTCTTTGGATGACCAATCAGAGTCTTCCAGCTACTTATCATTAAAACAGATGTCGGACTGACTTTGGTGTCTTTGCAAATTTTGGAATACACTGTGTCAAGCAAAGGTCCAGCAAGATTCTCACTTGTGATAGGTTTGACAGTCGGATTCAAGGTTTTACAAAACTTTCTGAAGTATGGAGATTCAGCAATCGCAAAGGGTATGTTGCAACCGATAAAGAATTCAGATAGAGCAATGTCTATCTTGTAATCAGAGCTAATGGGTGGTGATGGCTTGTGTTTTTTCTTGAAGTTCTGGTCATCTTGGATAAATGAGCACATCTCACTTTTGTCCCCAGAGCGCGATTGTTCTCCAAGGCAGTCCAATGATTCGTCCACGTCAACGAACGTGATAGTCGTCGAGTTCTCTGGGGTAAAAATCTTGGTGATCTTCCCACCTTCAGGGTCAGCATCGGTCATTTCCTCTACGTTAGATTCGTAGGAGCAGATCCTCCGGTGAGCAATCATCCGTTTCGAGGCAGTGTTGCACAAAACCTTGTTACAGATGATACAGTAGGCCGCGTGGACGCTGCGATGAGTTTTATCGCATTGCTTGAGTACCTGGCGGAAGCCCTGGCTCCAGACATCGTGTTTGGGTCGACCTGGTGGACCCTTGAGCACGATTTTTTTCTTTGGCGTCGGTGGCATAGTTTGAACCTAAAATACATTAAACACGTTGAGGAGACTCGAGTTGACATACTTCGACTGCCGAAGTTAATCAAGAGCCAGTGTTGACGAAGACGAGAGGTAGGTAAATAAATACACACACGTGTTTTTTGAATATTACATTTTCTACTTGCGGCTCTGTAGTAAATAAATCTTACGCAGTGTGCTAAGGGGTACTTTACCTACCTGTGACGAGTTCTTATTTTGATAAGTTGCTGGTAAATGCAATATTTAGGTGTAAACTGGGAAGGAAAACGTTAATTTTTTTTCTCCTTTTCTTGCACTTTATCAATATTTTCTACAACAAACAATGAAAATAAGTAAGAATTGAGGTTACTTATTTTGGCTACATCGGCTAAAAATAGACCCGGCGACGTTCGGAACTTAGCGGATTTTTCATAACTTGACACCTATTCTCGTTCCGAACTGACCCATGGACGAGACCGTGTAAATATACATATATCACTAGCCAAGTGACACTAGGGTGCCGTAGCGGCAGCAGCGGCTCCAATAGACCCTACGCTCATTACCTAAACATTCACTAGGAAAATTACACTAAGTCTAGAGTATTCGCAGCGCAGGGTCTATTGGGGCCGATCTGTTAGACCCTACACTAACTTATTTGAAATTCGCGAGGAAAATGCACTAGGACTAGTGTCCGCAGCGGAGGGTCTATTGGAGCCGATCTGTTAGACCCTCCGCTCACTTTGTATAAATTCACTATGAAAATGCACTAAGACTAGTGTCCATAGCGGAGGGTCTATTAGAGCCGATCTGTTAGACTCTCCACTCACTTCCTTGAAATTCACGAGAAAAATGAACTTGGACTAGTTTTCGCAGCGCAGGGTCTATTGGGGCCGATCTGTTAGACCCTACACTAACTTATTTGAAATTCGCGAGGAAAATGCACTAGGACTAGTGTCCATAGCGGAGGGTCTATTGGAGCCGATCTGTTAGACCCTTTAGATTGAATAAAATTTTTATTGGCAGTTTGAGTACATTTTTGCCATAACACAAATACAATTAAAATTATATTACACACTTAAATACATTGTTACGCTCTACTTATGATAGCGCCATCTAGCGTTATGATTTTTGGGATCTATATATCTAGGGGAAATCGTCTTGGAAAAAACCCTAGATATATGTGCTATATTTTTCAGACCTAGGGTTTTTACACCAGAAATAATTGATGTATTGTTGATATCAAATAAAGAATACGGGCCCTGTCGTACCGACAGTGTACTCACCCATTAAAGAATTTACCCAATATGGACCGTCGGTACGATAAAGCTCTAACCTCGCTAAATGCCTAGATACCTACCGTACCGACGGTCGACATAGACACTATATCCTCGATGGATAAGTGACTTAAATGTCGGTACGGCACGTCCCGTGTTTTTTCATCGATACCGAATAACCATCAATTATCAATTCTAGCGGCGTTACCACCACGACCTACGTAACTTTACAGCCTCTGATTTTATCATTCTGGTAAAGAGAGCACAGTGTAAGATGTACGTGAAGTTATGTGTAGTAATTATAGTAATCACTACTATAAGTCCAAGTAGTGCCATATGGTCGATTTTATTAAAACATATGAATATCTATATTTTTGGAGGTCGACTTTTGGGTAAAAAATAGATTGTAAACTTCCCGCAAACAGCACAGACCACGTCAACTTTTTATTATCTATCTATAAGATTAGTTGCGGCTGGTTTATAATTGACCAAATGGCTCTACTATAAGTAGTAAATTATTTTGATCAGCGCCATCTAGCGTTGCGAATTTCTGAACTAAAAAGTGGCCCTAAACTTTTGAACCATAGCTTTAGCGCGTAGAGCTATTTAGTCAATTATAAACCAGCCGCAACTCATGATGAAGCTATAAAATAAAAAAATAAGGATACATGTGTTTTTGGCGGCAAGTCAACAATCTATTTTATGCTCAAAAATTTATCTTCAAAAGTATAAATACATAGGAGGTCAATTTTTTAGTAGAAAATAGATTGTTAACTTGCCGCCAAAAACACATGTATCCTTATTTTTTTATTCTATAGCTTTATCATGAGTTGCGGCTGGTTTATAATTGACTAAATGGCTCTACGCGCTAAAGCTATGGTTCAAAAGTTTAGGGCCACTTTTTAGTTCAGAAATTCGCAACGCTAGATGGCGCTGATCAAAATAATTTACTACTTATAGTAGAGCCATTTGGTCAATTATAAACCAGCCGCAACTAATCTTATAGATAGATAATAAAAAGTTGACGTGGTCTGTGCTGTTTGCGGGAAGTTTACAATCTATTTTTTACCCAAAAGTCGACCTCCAAAAATATAGATATTCATATGTTTTAATAAAATCGACCATATAGTACTACTTGGACTTATAGTAGTGATTACTATTATTACTACACATAACTTCACGTACATCTTACACTGTGCTCTCTTTACCAGAATGATAAAATCATAGGTCGTGGTGGTAATAGGTCAATAATTAACATATATAGCACAAAAATCTAGGGGTTTTTTCAAGATGATTTCTACTAGATAGATATATTCCGAAAATCACAATGCTAGATGGCGCGGTAACAATTAAAATTCATATATAGACATAGAGAGATAAGCATATCGAATATCGAATTAGAATTTTTCATAAGCATCTCATGTATATCCATCCCATTAGTCCCGAAAATGGCGGAGCCGATAGTGATTTTTTCGGACACATAACGACTGTACGATAACGCTCCTGCAATTGTATATGAATTGGAAAAATTTTGCATTTACCCGAATTAAAGTCTATAACAAAATTAATATCAATATAATGTATATGTACTTACTCACTTTTAAAGTTAAAGTAAAAAGTTGTACGATATTCGGACGTCATTTTTGAACGAGGCTCGTTCGCATCTTTACACATTTATTTTTTCTCGTGATCTCACAGTATAGTGTCAGAAACACAAGAAGCATAAAGTATTAATACTTAAGTACCTAAGTATCGCCATTTCAGATATTTTACTGCGCACATGAGCGCTTTTGTCGACAGTATGTCCTGTGTTCATCTATATATACAGCTATAGCGAGGGAGTTCTTGAGAGCTCACTCAGCTCACGCGTGCACGCCTGCACGACACATGCCGAAATTACCGAATACTTAGCTGCTGATAAAAGCCTTGAAAGCTGACTAATTCTAGTCTAGAGCTCACTTTCTCGGAAACCCTGTTGTTGGCTTATTGGTAAGTCACCCGTGTGTCAGGTGTCAGGCCGTGTGTTCCAGTAGCGCTCTCCGACAACTTAAACATGACGCAAGATATCGTAAGACATAATTAAGTTGTTGGTAAGTTGTCGGAAAGCGTTACTGGAACACACCCAGGTATGTAACTGAATCCTATAGTATTCTTACTTCTTAATTCTTACATCTTAGTCTGTCTTAGTTTAGCGTAAGGCGCCTGCAGCGGCGCAACAGCTTGTCCTGTGAAGGCGGACGGAAAAACAATAGAATTACTATATTCAGCTGTAATTATAAAAGAAGACATTTTCCAACCAAAGATTTTTCATTGGCCTCGTTTCTTGGACTGATTGTACATTCGGTGTCCACTGTCCATCACTAACCAAGGTAACGTTTTCAAAACAAATGCACCAGTTTTTTTTTTTTTTTTTCATTTAACGTTTAAGGACAGCGGTTATGTTGCATTGTGGTGGTCGTATTGTCAACTAACAATTAGCACCATCAATTTCGTGGATAATTTTCATTTTGTCAGACAGCCGAGTTTGTGTCACTTCGTGTTTTAGCCTGCACGTGCTTGCCGCAGGTCGCATGGAGGGAAAATAGGGAAACGTACGAACAAACTTGTGTACGGTATACAGAGACATGCTTACGATCTTGTTTTTATGAGGTCGACGTACCGCGCGTTAACACGTCACCGTTGAGTCGTTAGAGTCTGTCATTCACTAATTCAGCCGTAGAGTTCTCGATACCATTCCTACAGAAGCCAAGGTATTTTTCACAATTTTACTTACTAAAATCAAAATAAAAAGAAGCACGTGCAAAGCACGTTTATTTCGGTAGAACAACATGTTAGCAGCTTATATACTTGTAACGAGATTCGACGACTAAATAATCTTTTTGTCTTCATTTGTTGATTTTGCCGTAGTGCTTGTCTTGTCAACATTTTCATTAGCCCACGTTAGGTTGTTTATTTAAACCTAAGTTCGTTTGAACTTGTTAAAAACAAGTAAATGAGTGTACGTAAAGAGGGCGAGCTCATTATTCAATAAAGATTTTAATCGTCAATGTTTACATAATTTTTTGAGTATCAATAATAGTGCCATAGCAAAAAAAAAAAGTAACTTCCCTTAAAATTAAAACTTTTTATGAAATTTTCTAGCTAGCGTATGCATTGATTTTAATTATTTGCTTAAAATTTTCATTTTTAAATTTCATTTGTTTCCAGCAATTCCGCAATTGTTTACACATAAAAAAATTTAGCAATTCTAATTTTACGCATGTGTAAGACCAGATGGCTTTAATAGTTATTATACCCACATGTGTAATAAATCGTGATTGAGTGGCCAACTTTTTAATCTCTTAGCCTTTATAATTATAAAAATTCTTTTTGACAACTTTTCAGTAGTTTAAAAAATAAACCAAGCATTAGTTAAAATCTATCAAAACCATTCAAATCTTCTCTTAACAACCGTATCTTTGGCAAATAAGGTAAATTTTGCTACGAATCAAAATAATGAAATCCTTTTCAAATGAACAAAAATGCGTTACTTATATACATTCAGATCAAAATTCTTTTCTGTTGATCAAAACAACAAAAATAAATTTGTCGATAAATTATGTTTTTAATAAAATTTATTCCATTACTATGTGCACAATCAAATGTAATCAAACTCTGTCAACATTTATGATACTCTTTCGTCGACCATAAGTTATTAATGTTTCATAATTATTTTTACTATTTTAGAAAATGGCTTCCGCTGGTAGAGGAATTGGCCGTGGTGGCCTGCTCGATATGATGAAGAAAAAAAAAGAAGAGGAAGAAGAGAGGCTAAGGGAAGAGCAAAGGCTTAAAGATGAAGAGGAACAATTAAAGCAGGAAGCAGCAAAAGCGGCAGCTGAAGTACCTAGAGTACAAGTAACTACTTCGTCTGTTGGCATAGGTCGTGGAAGCCTTTTAAGTAAAATGAAACTCAGCAAGGCCAACTCTTCATCTCCAGTTGCATCGACTACTGCATCAGTCACTTCAACCCAAACAGTATCATCAAGATCAGGGCCACCTTTAGGGCGTGGTTCGTTAATGAGTGCGTCAACCACTGCATCTGCAACTTCGACGCAGACAACGTCCACATCTTCCGGATCTGCAGGACGTGGTTTACTCGCTGGTATGATGAAAAAGTGAGTATTAATTGGCATAAAGTACTGTTTCAATAGATACAATAGATTTTTTCGATACAATAAACTTTTTTTTAGAAGATATAAAATATTTTCTTATAACCTTTACCATTTGTTATTACTATAGTCAGAAAGCTTACAAGCGGACAATAATAAAAAACTTTTTCTCCCCATAGGGCTCCTTCCTTAGAAACGTCAGGTGAAACGTCAGGTGTTCTCGGGAAATTGTCCTCACTGTCTCTCGAAGATACGAGATCATCAGCTGTCTCTGAACCAGAAATTGTTTCGCGTAAAGGAGAATCAGGCAAAAAGTATTTAATAAACTTTTCTAATTCTTTGAATTCTGTCAAGTACCTAATAAAATTGGTGTTTCAGACTTCAACTTACAGCCAATTACGTTAGACTAAAGGTCGACAGTAGCAAAGGCATGTTTCAATACGAAGTAAAATTCTCACCTGATATAGACAGTCGCAATTTAAGGTTCAAGCTTATTAGACAGCACTCTAATGTATTGGGTGAGGTCAGAAATTTTGATGGGACGCTTTTATACTTGCCGATTCTGTTACCCGATCAGGTATTCAAAACTAAATGGAATTAATTTCAAATAAAGTGCTACTAATTTCTTTTTCTTTTTGTATAGAGAACAGTTCTTGAATCTGTCCACCCAATAGATAATACTCCTGTTACATTGACTGTCATTTTCAAAAAGAAACAAGCCATGAAAGATAACGTTACGTTCTTCAATGTTTTAATCAACAGAGTCTTGAAGGCTCTAAAGTTGGTTCGCATGGGAAGGCACGACTATAATCCAAGTGGTGCTCATCAAATTCCAGCTTATAAATTAGAAGTGTGGCCAGGTTACGTGACTGCTGTTAACGAATTGGAAGGTGGTCTATTGTTAAACCTTGATGCATCACATCGCGTTATGCGTACTGAAACTGTTCGAGACTTGATGTAAGATTACAGATGATTAGGCTCAACTTATTAAATGTTTTAACAAAAATTTTAATTAAATTTTGAAACTATAGGGCAACATTATACGCAAAAAATAAGGATCATTTTAAGAAAAATGTTGTCAATGAAATCGTCGGAACATCAGTACTTACCCGGTATAACAATCAATCCTACCGGGTCGATGATATTGAGTGGGATAAAAATCCTACTCATGAATTCGACAAAAATGGTGAAATGATGTCGTTTGTACAATACTACAAACTTCACTATGAAATCACAGTTAAAGATCTCAATCAGCCGTTGCTGGTACACAGATCAAAACACAAGACGACGACCGGTGAAGTAAGTATAGTATAGTTATTTTTATATCGATCATCTACAGTATATGATATTTTAAAATTTTTTTTTAAGACCATTGAAAGAATGACTTTGTTGATACCAGAGCTCTGCTACGTTTCTGGATTGACTGAAAGCATTAAAAGTGACTTCCAAATCACGAAAGAACTTGCTACGGTTACTAAAGTTAATCCAGAAGAAAGGAGAGTTGTAATTAGAAGGTTTATCAAACAAGTAAATGGTAACGAAGTAACGAGGAAGATTTTAGCAGACTGGGGCTTAGAACTTGAAAATGACACCTCAGATTTAACTGGGCGAGTTCTAGACCCAGAGGAAATCATGTTTGGAGGTAATGGTAAAGCTAGATCCGCTTATGCCGAGTGGCCAAAAGAAGCTGGTAGTAACAAAGTTTTAAGGACTGTAAGTAAAAGTGTATTTGTTTATTTTTCTTTTTTTCAATCATTTTTAGTAAAATAATTAATTTAGCTATGATTTATAGCCCAACTTGAATAATTGGGCGATCATATGTACAACTAGAAATCAAAAAAATTGCAATGATTTCTGGGAGTACCTGCAAGGAGTTTCTCGTAGAATCGGTATAATGGTTAACAAGCCACAAATGATATTTTTAAGAAATGATGATACGCAAGCTTATGTCACAGCAATCCGTAATGTTGTCCATCAACAACAACCAGAAATGATTGTAATTATTTTTCCCACTATACGGCAAGATAAATATTCGGCTGTTAAAAAGTAAGTGAAATTCAAGTAATTTTGTGAGCGTCCAGCGAAACTGATAATAAATAATTTTCAATCACTCACAGAGTGTGCTGCGTTGAATTTGCCGTTCCGTCGCAAGTTATTATATCTAAAACGCTGAACAGACCAGATAGGATTAAGAGCGTGACGGAAAAAATTGCTCTGCAAATGAATTGTAAGCTCGGTGGAGCGTTGTGGGCCTTGAAAAATCCATTTGTAAGTACTAGTTGTACTGTTCATTTACCAAAATTTGTATAATCTGATAGAAAATTGGCACACTGTGCGGGAGACCATTTTTTTCGACACATTGCTGTATTATGTAGTAGTAAAACAACTATTTCCTAATCATGTTCTCAGCCTAACGCAATGGTGTGCGGCGTTGATGTTTTCCATGGAGGTGCTGGTTTCGGTACAAAAGCCAGTGTAGCAGCTTTTATTTCGAGCTTGGATCAATTGCTTACATCATGGCATAGTCGAGTTTGTCTTCAAAGTCCACACCAAGAGATAATAGATCTGTTGAAACAGTGCTTAAAATCATCGTTGGAGGCTTATCGCGAGGTATGTTGACATTAATTAATTCAGTTATAAAAAAATTTTGCTTCTTGTCGTAGTTAATTTTTTTTTTTTCCTTTTAGAGAAACGGAACGTATCCTGACAAAATATTTATTTACCGAGACGGTGTTGGTGATGGACAGCTTAGTACTGTTCAAAAGTATGAAGTACAACAGTACTTGGAAACATGCACATCTATTCATGCCAACTACAAACCTAAAGTTAGCGTAATCATTGTACAAAAAAGAGTGAATACGCGCATCTTCGAAAAGGTAAGTAAAACTCTTTGTTTTTTAAAGCTTATTTTTTATTTTATATTAACGTTATTTGTTGCTTTCAGAAAGGAAAACTTGGTAATCCTCCCCCAGGTACCATCGTTGACGAGCATATTACTCGCCGTTATTTATATGACTTTTACTTGGTGCCGCAATTAGTAAAACAAGGTACTGTAACCCCAACTCATTACATTGTACTTCACGATTACGGTGAGCTGAAGACTGATCACATGCAGAGATTTACTTACAAATTATGTCATTTGTACTACAATTGGCCCGGTACTATCAGGGTACCAGCTCCATGTCAGTACGCTCACAAGCTTGCATACTTGGTTGGTCAAAGCATAAAAGACACTCCAGATGCCAGGCTTAATAATTTATTGTATTACCTTTAACTTTTTTTTTATCTATGTTGTCTTGCTTAAAAGTAAAAAAAAAATAAAATTATTCAATTTTTAACAGCATGGAAGATTAAAAAAACTCAAGTTATTGTTTCTATTGACTTTAAAATGTAAGAGTTGTATTTCAAATTGTTTGTGAATTTTTGTTATTAAAGTTACATTTTTTTTTTTTTTTTGTTTTTTGTGAATTTAAATTAAAATTCCTTTTTTTAAATTAAATACCTTTTTTAATTATTGCGTTGAAACTATTGTGCTTAAAGTATTTAAATACTCATATGAAATAATTTACCATGTGTTAAAAGTGAAGTAATAATTTTATTTTTACTTTTTTGTGTTTAACTTTTCATTTAACTCTACTAACTTTCTTGTATAAATCTATTCAGATTTGAAAGTAATAAAAAACTGAAATTCTTTAAAATTTGGATTACTAATTTAAAAATGTAAACGAAAATTCAGGCAGAAACGATTTAAAAAAATTATATTCCCTAATGGCTAAGTTATTATTATAAAATTGAAAACTAAACGTAGTATACACCCACGTAAGATCATAAAAATGTGTTCATTTTCATATTTTAAATTAAAAGGGTAAATAATTTATTTCTGATTTAATGAGGTATATAAGTGCGATACGTGTAAGTGCCTATGATAGTTGCAGTGTAAATACAGAAAAATAAAACATGACTCAAGATTTCATATTATTGTAATTTTGAAAGTTTATAATATACCTATTTTTCATGATCGTTATCTTCAATTTTATTTATTAAATCCTTTGAGTTCAAAACTTTTCATTCTAAGGCACCCATTGCAAAACATACTTTTTACCAGTTATATTAATATTAAATTTTGAAAAGTTTTTATTAACAATTATCATTTAGATTATTATATAAGGTGATTTCTAGAATATTTTATTAAAACTCAGATGTCTGGCTGTACTTTTTTTGATGTAGTAATTGAATGTTTAAAAACAATGATATTAATGTCGTCGATATATTGAACAAAATATTAAAAATATTTCTCGTCAATGTTGCCGAGTTATTTGACGGTCATTGCCTGTCAAACAGATGAGAAAACATCTTGACGGGCACGTAACGAAAGTGGAAAATCGTTTTTTATGACTGTTTACTGCACGCTTTGAGCAGGAAAAAAATATACGAGGATAATTGGACGAATGATTGACCTAACAACAGAGTTGTCATGTAAGAATAAAAAAAAATTGTATTGTGATGAACAGTGTAATCCTTTCGTCTCGTTGATTCAAATATTTTGGCAAGGGACGGTGACGATTTCAACTTGCACTCGTCCTATAAAAAAAAAAAAAAAAAAAAAAAAAAAAAAAAAAAAAAAAAAAAAAAAAAAAAAAAAAAA